AATAATGATCTTTAAAAAAGCATCATATGACCCCTTTAACATGATGTACTAAAATAACTATAACTGAAATAAAAAGTAATACAAAAAACTGCATAGACATTTAAAAACGATGAAAACTAATAAAAATGTCATAACAAAATAACTAAAACTTTAAAATCAAATCTAATTCAAAATATAAAAAAATATTAAAGTATCTCAATGATACTAAAATAACACTAGATCTAACAAGGTGTTTTAGATAAAAAATTATTATTATTATATTTTTCTTTATTTAATGGCTGATTAAATTATATTACGTATGATAGCAATGATAACATTACTCATGATAGCAAACAAGATACAAACAAATATATTAGAATTTATATTTTGATTATTTTATTTTACACTATTTATTCAAAATTCACTAAAATGGTTGATTAATCAGCCTGGCTGCTATCACTGCTATATCCACATTATTTACACTGATATATGTGCATCGTTACAGAATTTATTGATGGACATCATACATTAAATTATTACATGCCATAATAAACAGTAAGTTTAAGTGGTTATTAAGCAAGAGTTAATATTGCGTTAATATCGCAGAGATTAAGTGGTTAAAAAAAAAGAATGATTGTAAACGAGTGTAATTAATATATTTCTGCAGAGCTCAACTATGGTGGTCTTGTAATGCACTTTGACTACGTTTGGCTGCGAGATCACTGCCGCTCGGCTTCATGCTACAACTCAAAAACAAACCAGCGTAACCTGGACACTGCCAGCATTGATCTGAACATCAGGCCTTTAAAGAGCAGAGTGGATGAAAACAACCTCTTCCTGACATGTAAGTGCAGAACAAGGCTTAATCCAATTCAACTGTAAATCAGAATCACTTCAGTTGAAGGGTACCACTAAATATGTGCCCGGGAAACTACCTTAAAGGGAGAGCTCACCAAATGAAATGAACATTCTGCCATTATTTACTCACATTCAAGGACCGAAAAGAACTGAAATCCAGCATAAAAGTAGCCCATAGTCAACGTTTTGCTATTTTGTTTAGCTATTCCGTTATTTTGTCTCCCTTTTCTATTGTTATAAAAGTAGCCCATGGCTCATGTGCATGGCTTTTTGTAGGAAACAGACCAACCAGGGTTTGAAATTAACACCTGCCCACTTGCCAAATGCGGGTAAAAGTCAACTGTGGCGGGTAACGTTGTCAAATCACTAGCCTATTTTGGCGGATTATTTGTCTTCACTCTTTAAATTTTTGTGGAAGTTAATGTAAGCCAGCAGATTTAGCGCAATACTGAACTTGTGAGTCATCAAAATCCGTTACCGTGGAAACGGCTGTAATCTGCCGCTCCAAAAGCGCCTCCTGGTGGCAGAGGATGAATTGGTTTGTTTCAGCTGTTTTTGTGCAGACCATTGCGAAAATCGACCCAGCAAATACACTGTAAATATGAACCGGTGGATCGACAAGAAGCTAATGCTAATGCATTTTAAACATCTAAACAATTAAGACATATAAATATATCTTAATGTTGTTAAATTCATATAATAATTGTTTAAATTAATGAAATAATTGATACTTCTGACTCATCTCTTTTCTTAAAAAATGGTTTAAAGGCTGAAATGTGTGCTGAAACCGTTTTGCTTGTGTGAAAACCTGTAACTGCACTGTATATATGGTATAAATTTAGTTTGTGCAGGTCTTAAATTTTAAAAAGTCTTAAATTTGATTTTAAAAATCCTACAGACACCCTGGAATGATATGAAATTCAGATTTTATAATAGATATATTTAAATATGAAGCTGTGACGTAGTTCATTTGGTTTATATCCGTTTTGTGCATGTTTTATTTATTCATTTATTT